CACATTTACTGTCTTCTCTTCTAGATTGCATTCCATCAGCAGTGTTAGGATGCATAGCTACCGTGACCTATCATGCTAAGTGATATCAAAGTCAAAAGGTCTGGCTCTGTGCAGCATACCAACACTCCATCCTTTCCTATTTACCCCAACGACAGTGAAGGATGATGGATGACATACAATGACAATCCCCCTGTTAATGTCTACAACCAAAACTGGGAGCAACAGTCCTATATGAAGTAGCATATTATGTGGGTTTGTTCGGACTATATTTTTTTTAGTAAATTCTCAACAGACTCAACAGAAGCTTCCGAGAAGAGGAGCAACTTGTACAGTTTTTGTCCGGTGGATCGTTTAGCTACAACCACGATTTGTATCTCGTATCTTCTCTAACCACATTCTATGACCCAGTCTGATCCATACGCTAATGAACACTAATAAATATAGACAAGTGATACAAAACTCATTTCATCTAGTCTAGTTCAAGACCTTATGTGATCCTTAACACCATCAAACCTTTTAACACTTTCATTAACACACATTCATGGCAAAAATCTAACTGAACATGATGTTGGCAGTGATAAGTTACCTAACTGAAGGAAGGTTAACTAGTTAGGCTTCACATGAAAATGTTGAAATTAGCCATATTTCAAAAAGGAAAGCTGCATTTTCATAGTCAATGAAGGAGACTTCTTCCAGCATAAACAAGCATAAAGCATCGGATTTGAGGAGCATTGAATTAGTTTAAAGTAGTATACTATAAATAAATAAAAAACAATTATCTTATTTTTTCTGGAAAGAGATTCACAATAAATAATTTATTCTTTTCATTGAGATGATTTCCCCGTGTTGGGAACAATTACAAACTGATTGTGTTAAATTCATATTAGCCTGTCCTTCCCATCGCTGGGTGGGAGCACAGCTGCATCAGTCCCAACAGATTTGAAGTGAAGCCTCTACCGGGTCTCGCTCTAGTTCTTTTGCTCTGAAATGGACGTGCAGCTGAAAAGCTCCGGGGTTTTCAACACCCCAGTAGTATTCTCTGCTGTGCGTTGTACTAGAATTACAGTTGTTCCGATACAACACCAGTATCAGAAATGGCTCTGATACGGCGTAAAATGCTGGATCTGGCATCGGTGAGTGAGCAAGTCTATGCATTGATCATAAAATGTATCAGCTCATTAATGCTGCACAGGAACAACAACATGTGTCACTCACTTCCCAATCACCCACTTCGCGATCCGTATATCCTAGGGGACAATAACTGACCCAAGGTTTGCAGATGAAAATCACTCTTTAAAGCTTGTGTTCCCCATAAGTTTAGAAATAATCTTAATTGGCGGGAAACAATACTGAAACAAAGGTTTAGTACTGAAGAGATCGACCAGTACTCAACAGTTCAGGATGCGTAGACGTAGCGTTACACTCCTACTGCACAGTCTGTTCCTCTGTAAGGTAGGATTGTAGGATTTTAGCTTAATGCTAAAAGCTACATGCTACTAGCTATTCTACCTAATATGGATACTGTAACTTACTGTATTAACAACACAATGCATTCCCAAGTAACAATGCTCTGTACTGCAGCTAAAGTTGAACCAGGATGAACCTTTTCTGACAGACTACGTTTTCTTGCTGGAGCCCTTTGCAGCGACTCCCCACTGGGCCAACGCAGTGGTCTCAGTGGAATAAATGAGGACCCTGGCTTTTGTAGTTCTGCATGCAGCCTATGGTAGTCAGGTTTCCAGAAAGACCTCACTCACCACCAGAACACCCCTGTGAGAGACACATTTCTGCTGTTACAAGTGAAATAAAAGGTCATGCTAAGCAGCTGGAACAGAGGTCTACACGGATTAAAAAAAGGGTCCCTTTAAGTGCAACCCATCTTTTATTACAGCCATGTGGCAACCTCTGGGTCTGGAAAGTGAAGTCAATGTATAAGTGTCTTAAAACTGCATTCTTTCTAATGACCATCAGGGAGCGACTTCTCTGATTGTATAGAAGTCTATGAGAAAATGACTCTACTTCTCACTTGATTTATTCCCTCAATAAACCTTGTAAACATGAGTTTATGGTCCTAATCTCTAGTTTCAAGTCTTCAATACAGCATGATGTTCATTTAGTAAATTATGGTCCATTTAGAGTCAAATAGAACATAAAGCAGGGTATGCTTTTGGGCGTGCTTACTGTGATTGACAGATCTTTATCAGAGTTGTCCAGGTCTGGGAGTGGAATGTGTTTTCGGTTTAGAACTTTAACCCTTTCAAAGTGTTTTCAGTTCATAAAAGTTAATTGTAACATATTGGTCGCCTAAAAATGTCTTATTCAGCGCTTTGTATTATTTAGCTCAACCCTCTCGTGTCACCTCCCGTTGTGAAAAAACAAGCTGGCAATGGCCAAAATGCCGAACTTGAGTCAGTCCACAAACCAATGGGGGAAGTAGCGGTGACTATGTCCATTTCTTATATACAGTCCATGGTTACGGCATTAAAGATGTGACATTTTATTTCGAGCAACCTTTAGACCAGGGGTCTCAAACTCCCGGCCCGCCACGTCATTTTATGTGGCCGGCGAATCTGCCAGCAAAAAAAAAAAAAAAAAGATTTTAAAGTTAGACTTGACAATACAAATTTCCCCATAGTCGAAATTATGAGATAGAAAGTTGAAGTTATGAGATAGAAAGTCATAACTATGATAGAAAGTCATAATTCTGAGATAGAAAGTCAAAATTATGAGGTAGAAAGTCAAAATGATGAGATTGAAAGTCAAAATGATGAGATAGAAAGTCAAAATTATGAGATTGAAAGTCAAAATTCTGAGATATAAAGTCGAAGTTATGAGATAGAAAGTCAAAATGATGAGATACTTAAACGTGGCTTTACAACACATGAAATACTTCATGTGAGATTGTGCAAACGCACCCTTGAAAGGATTTGAAGCTTTGAACAAAGTTATTGTAATAACTTGTGTTTGATATTTGTCTTTGCTATTTTCTTTAATAGTTTGATCTTTGATAGAGTAATGTGGGTTTCTTAACCCTAAATTAAAAGGATTTAAGTTATAATAACAGAAATGTGCTTAAATATATTTTTACATTTATATAACTGCATGTACAATATTTTTACACTTGAATAAACAATAATCAAATGCAGAGAATTATTTACCAATATGTTACGAGTAGTTACATTTACAACCGGCCCTTTGTGGGCGACCATGATGCTGATGTGGCCCGGAGTGAAAATGAGTTTGAGACCCCTGCTTTAGACCGTTTCCTGTAAGCTTATTTGCCTCCACCCTTGACCGCACACATGTTCAAACACTGAAAAAAAGAACAACAGATTGAAGCCACAACTTTTCTCACAGAGACAGTTAGAGTATCGTCATTCATGCCCCCCCCCCCTCCCCAGTTCTCACTACAACAATTGTCACTCATCTTAATGGGCTGTCTATCTTTTGTCATTAGATCTTACCCGAGGTGGAGGTGTGCCGCATCTATCTATAATGTGTGGTTAGATCTTTTTTTTTTTCTGCATGCCTCTCTTGTTGCTATGAAGTCCTGCAATGTGGCTGCCACTAGCATCACCTCTTCAGCCAAGCTAGCGCCTGACCACGCCCATTATGAAACGTCCCACTGTGGTAGTAGTGCACCCAAAAATGTCCTTAATTTGCTACAATGCTACTTTGAGTCAAACAAGACTGTTATCTCCTCCCACTGATATAAAGGCATATCAGAGTCGCTATGGAAATGTAGGCAACGGAAAACAGCCGAGATGTTGACGTCCAACAATGAGCTGGCCATGGCTTTGGTAATGAGACCCTGGGGACCTGGCTGAGCCTGCTGTGAGTGTGTGTGTGTGTGTGTGTGTGAGTGTGTGTGTGTGTGTCTGTGCGTGTAGAAGGAAGGGTGTCTATAATCTTCCTTAAGAACTTAATTCCGTGAGTGTAAGCGTCTGTGTGTTTCTGTAGGCGATGTGTGCAGTTGGAAGGGAACCGGCTGTGGCCAAGGATTTGTTTGTGTGTGTGTCTGTATACCTACATATGTGTGTGTGTGTGTGTGTGTGTGTGTGTGTGTGTTCGTGTGCGTGCAGGTGAAAGTGTGTGAGTGTACCCGTTGGCCCAACAGTCACACACAGAAACACATTGTGGAGCGAGCGGTAAGCCGATGATAAGCATGAACCCCCCCCACACACCCACACCTCAACCCTTTTCTCCATCCTCTCCCTCCCTGCCTCACCTTATTCCTCCGTCTCTTTTCCTACTTCCTTCCCCCTGTCTCTCCTCCCTCCCTCCTCTCTAATCGTCGGGCTAATTGACTCAGCCAGATTTGGCAACAGGCGTATTAGTGTCATTTCACACAACAAGAGATGACCTATGCAGACGGCGCAGCGGTGACAGTCGAGACAGAGCGAGGCCCTGCAATGTTGTGTTCACCAAATCCAATATCCCACCCGCACACACACACAGCAAATACATTTCTCTCAATTTATAAATTTACTTATTAACACAAGTTTTGTGTTTTCTTCCAGACACCTCAGCCACCTCAGGGAAACATGTTTTACACGGGTCAGCTGTTTTTTTCTGTCTTTCTCTCACTTTGAGCATCCTCAGACCGACACTGGACTTCCCTTCATAGCAATGACATTGTCATTCCCACAGTGCCAGCGGGTAAACAAGGTGTTTGCATAGTTGTAGGTGTATTGGAGCGGAAGTCCGGGGAAAATGTTTTTGTATGAGGTTTTCTCTGATGATTAATACGTCACTCAAATTCTGTCGAATGGGTGTCATTGTGTGTGAGGACCGAGGACCAATTTGAGAATAACACCTTCAGAGTGAGGACATTTTGGACAGTCCTCTCTTTGGTACAGACCTTTAAAGATTTGGGTTAGGATTAGGTTTAGGTTAGAGTTAGGGTAAAGGTTGGGGTCAGGCATTTATGTGCATTATGTATTCAATGAGTGTCCTCACAAAGATAGATGTACAACATTGTGTGTGTGCAGAGCCCTTACCGCTGTGCGCGCTGAACCAGCGGGGTGCGATGTGCAGGGGCAAGGTGTCAGCCAGCGACCCCCGGGACCCCAGATAGAGCACCCCGTCCGTGTGGTGCCCTCCGCCCCCAGTGTCCTGGTAGCCGGTACCTTGTGGAGCAGCGGTAGTGCCCCCTGACCCCCCTCCGGCTCGTTCCGAGTCCGTCCCTCTCGGGGTGTAGAAGCCGAAGGGCACGGCGGGGCTGTGCTCGATGCCCATCCCGGCCACGGAGCTCACCGAGCGGCTCCTTAGGCCCATGGTGCCGCTCGGCCGGTAGTGACCGAAGTGGGCCGAGGGTGGCACCGCGCTGTCATCTGTAGAGACGCCAGGAAAAGCACCCCGGGGCCGCCCCGCCGTGCTCTGCTTTCCCCCCATCCAAAGCGGGAGGCAAAATGGGTGGGGGCTCTGGGTGGAAACAGGAGGGGGCTCGGCTCGATCCGCAAAGGGTCGAGAGAGCCTAAACAGGCTGTCGCCCCCCCTCCCTTCGTTCCTGTCTGTCTCTCGGCCTGCCCGTCTGTGTGCCCGCCCGTCTGTCCGTGTGTCTCAGCAGGCTCGTCAGCTCTGACTCTCCGCAGACGCAACAGCCCGTTTCGCGGCTGAGCGGAACATGAGCCCGCCCCGACGGCTGGATTCCCCTCACCCGTGGACAAAATCCTCGACACAACCGGGGGGATGGCTGACGAGCTGAATGACGCCGAAAAGCCCAGAATGACACGCTAGGCTACACTCCCCTCGTGGCCCCAGGTGACGGCTGTATCATTGCAGGCGGGACATTATCCCGCCCGGCCAAGATCGAAGAGGCGCTGCAATGTTCACTCCGCTGCTCGCGCCTCATCTGATGTCAGACATCATGACAACTGTTGCTGTCGTCTGACCGCCAAAAAACAACGGTCTGCCTTTGAAAAAAAATGACGTCGCTGTCCCCGCTGTCTTGTCCGCTCTGGTGGTCTCCAACCAGAGGTCGCCCTTTTTTCCCTCGAATATCGGGGTCACAGTGACGCTGCTCCCCTGCGCTCAGATCAGCGCTCCGCTGCTCTCCGCTCCGCCGCTGCTACTGCTACTGGCCAGACAATGGAGGCGCTCAGTGCGCAATCCTGGATCATAAATACAGACAGGACAGGAGACAGTATAGCGTACAGTTGCTTTCATTCCTAATCAAGGGCAATGGGCTTGGGAATCGTCTGCAGTGTTACCGTAAAGCCTTTTGAATCATGGGGCATTTTAGGATGTGAGGTGTGGCAGTGGACACCAGGTAGCCCACTTTATAGCCCAGAATGAGCCGGAATTCGATTTTGTGGTTTTGTGATTTTGAGCAAAGAAATATCAGGACTTAATTTAGAAGTTATATTAAAAAAAATTAAATGAGCATCATGATAAAAAGTCATGATTTTTTTCTTAATTGAGGAATAGAAATAAAGCTACCTTGTATTACCCATGCCCAAGGGCGTAGGTTTGGTCTCAGCATTGGTAGGGACACTGCCACTCCCCCCCCGCCCGCCATCTAAAAAAAAGTCTTAGTTGATACCAGGGGCGTTTCTAGGATTCAAAGAAAGGGGGGGCTTAGCCCCAAAGGGAGCGGCATGTTTGTGCACAAAGCGAGGCAATTTTTTTTGGGGCCGCGGATATCCATTGTTTCAGACAGTTCATAGATCGGTTCAATCAGAAAGAGTGTGATTTTGCTCTGTAGTTTTGCTTGCATTCAGTATATGACAACACAAGAGACAGAATTTCAGGGTCATAGTGAAATTTGACAACACAAATATGAACTTTTCTAAAATAAAGAATATCCGCGTCACTCCCAAATCCTAATTCTTAAAGGGGCCGCACACAATGGATGGAGAATGGACCTGACAGTGTCAACTTTATATCGTTAAGTATGATGATAGGCTATTGGATTGTAATTTGAAGGGGGAGAAAACATACAAACCAGAACGCACGCACATATGTAGCATGTTAGAGTTATAAATAATTTGTCCATGTCAGAAAAAATACTTTAATTTAATGACATCACCAAAATAAAAATATATATATTTTTTTTCTTCTTTTTTTTTTTTAAGCCAATAATGCCAAATTATTTGGGGGGGCTGAAGAACATTTGAGGGGGGCTTCAGATCACTGTCGTCGTTAGGCATTTTAATAAATGCCTAACGATGCCCCATGGTTGATATTATGTTGAACAGGCAAACTTTATTAAAATATATTACCATTTGTGTAACTTGGAACTGATTTAAACATAATAACAGTAACAAAACCTTAGTTTAAATACAAAACAGTATTCTGCACCAAATAAATAATAATAATAATTAAATAAATGAATAAAAAACGTTCTGCTAAAATGCCAATATACAGTAACAGTATATTCTATATCCAAAATATACATAAAAAACTTTTCCCAGTTGTGCAGCCAAAAAAAGACAAAAAAAATTAAAAATAAATCTATTCTGCAGCACTTAATAGGCTACAAATAAAGTGCTTTCCTCCTTTATACAATTATTAGTAGTGCTGGGCAACGATTACAATTTTTAATCGCGATTAATCGCATGGATTTTTTGCGATTAATCTCATTGTTATGGCAAAGTTCAATAATGAATTCAAAAGTAGTGTATTGCGCACTTTTATTTTAAAAGTACTGCTATATGAACAAAAGGGCAATAACATTTGGTTTGCAAACACTTTAAATAAATCAGGTTCTTTTTAACAGCAGTATTCCCTTTACACAGTAGCGATCATATTTCTTGCACTATCTGTGCTCAGTGTGCTGACTGTATGTGAAACGTTCCACTGCTGTGCAACAGGAATAAAATGTTTCAGCACGTTTCAGCAAAAATGTCTGTCTTCATGACAGTCAGAGCATGTGAATGCAGCTCTACTGTTCATCAATATAATGCTGTAACTCCGAGGTGATGATGGTTACCCAGCGATCAAAGAATAAAGACGCTTTACGCACAATTTAGGTGTATTTTCCCTTTAACTCACGAGATGCAGGTAGCATGTTTTATACTTAATGTGAATATAATTCATACTTTGTTGGCATCTTATTCTGAAAACCGGATGTCCGTCTGAAGAAACCAGATGTTGTCTCACGTTAATCTTTCCGCTAACTTTCAGAGTTATTCGCTCGCTCCCGATCTGTGCCGTTTGAATGCGTTTACCGTGACTTTCAGCATATAGGTGCACTAAAGTGTAAGTGCCTGCTGAGTTGACCACGGAGATCTGAGTGTCTGCTTATTTTTTCTAACGGGCAATTAAAATTAACAAAATATTGGTGGGGACAATTGTGTCTTTCCCAAACTTTGGTCGTGACTAGTCCCTATGACCCTATGCAAACCTACGCCCTTGCCCATGCCCCCCCCCCCCCCTACACACACACTGCCAGGTCTTCAGCCAGCATATTGTATTCATTATCAAGTTATGCACAGATTTTCCACCATATGCTAAATTATTGGGATTACTGGCTCACATGTTGTGTTTGGGATTACTTAGTCTAATCCTGAGCGTGTGTGTGTGTGTATTCATCAAGCTGTTTTTGGCTCTTTGTTTCATCACAATAACAAACAGTCAGGCTTGACTTCTAGTTCTCGAAACCCAATAAGGTAAACTATGGTAAAGCATACTGCAATAGGTGTTAATCCATCCTGCCTTAATGACAACAGGCCTATAAATGGTCCCCTCTCTGCTCCTTAAGCATTCAAACAAACACACACATACACAATCAACTGAAATGGTTATAATATATAAAACCACAAGGATAACATACATAAGCCTGCAGGGCCAAGGCAAAGCTATCTTCCGGTTTCATTTGAGTGCTTCCTGTCATTATCACAGTTGGTCTAACTCAAGGTTTACCACACATGAAATTAGCCAATGACACTGACCGAATCCTGTCATAGTTAGAAAGTTTCTAGACTGTCCTCACACACACAGTCTTCTTAAAGGGGACATATGAAAAAACTTTTTCACTGTTTGTGAACATACATTCAGATTATCTCCCCCCATGGAGTCAGAAATACCTTTGCAAAGGTGCGCCATATTTTTTACTCACAAGCCATTCAGAGATCAGAGCAGACCAGGCGGTAATCCCCAGTTCTGCCGAGTGAAGCCAATGCAGAAGTGTCTTAAAAGTTGCATTCTCTCTACTTACCAGCATTGTGCAACTCCTCCATTTGCAAAAAGAAGTACAATTGCATGGAAGTCTATGAGAAAATAATCCTTCTTCTCACTTGATTTATTACCTCAGTAAACATTTTAAACATGGGTTTATGGTCTCAATCTCTAGTTTCAAGTCTTCTTCAATATAGAATGATGTTCATTTAATAAATAATGGTCCATTTAGAGTCAAATAGACCATAAAACAGGGTATGCTTTAAGGCCGGCTTTCTGTGATTGACAGGTCGCTGCCGCTACCAGAGCCATATACGGCGTATCTAACAAATTAACAAATTTCCCCTTGCGGGATTAATAAAGTATCTATCTATCTATCTCTACTTCACTCCACTGCATTCCAAATATGGTAACCTCCCTTCATCGGTTGCAAAAAGTCAAGATGGCGACATCTTTAATCCAAGATGGCGACGTCCTTAATCCAAGACGGCCAAATTGGCGAAGTCGAGGCTTCATAACAGCAGTCCACAAACCAGCGGGTGACGTCACGATGACTATTTCCACTTCTTATATACAATCTATGGAGAAGACTGGGCTTTTTTGGAAGGTCTTAAAGAGACAGGCACTAAAACAGAGTGTTTCAGACAGAGGGTGAATACAGTTATATTCAGACAGATATTATTAAAGAAATGATGTGCTTTTTGAACATTAAAGCATGTAAAGTGGTTCTCATAGTAACCCAAAATACAAGTATGATCCTGGAAATGAGCATGAAATATCTTATATATATTATAAGTAATAAGTAACAAACCTGGTTTCACAGGAAGACAAGCAGAATCCAATTCCTCAGGAAGGTGTTCATCGCCTGAAAAAACCTGCGGAGAATCTTGATGAAAACCCACTCATTAATAAACAATTATAAATGCTGACATGATGGCTTAATCAGGCATGATGGCTTATCAGACAGCAAGAAACCACAATGATTCATGGATTACCAACATTCATAACTGCATTAATACCAAATGCCAAAAAAAATACCAAAAAAGTATAAACACAAACAGAGGGTTTTTCACAATCTGGCTAATCCAAAAGACATGTTTGAAAGCCTTGTCTACACCACTGGGGGAGATTAGTAGTCTTTGTACCATAGCCTACTTGGGCAGCTGTGGCTCATAGTCCACTAATCAGAAGGTCAGTGGTTTGATCCCAGGCTCCTGCAGTCTACATGTTAAAGTATCCTTGGTCAATATACTGAACCCCTGTGAATGTGAATGTTCATCGCTCCTGATGAGCAGGTGGCACCGCCTCTCCCACCAATGTATGAATGTGTGTGTGACTGTGTGAATGCTGGCTTGTGTTGTAAGGCACTTTGAGCATGCATGGATTATTGGACGGGCCTATCGGGTAAAGGTCCAAGGGCCCAAAGTGTCAGGGAACCCCCTAGTCCACACCTCCAAAATGTCTCTCAAAGCAACATATACCAACCAGGACAAAGACTTAAAATGACCACAAAGAAACATAAAACGACTAAAAAGAGATACAAAAAGACTGTGAGACCAAAATAACAAAGAAATACAAAACAGCTGCAATGAGACACATCAACTATGTAAAGAGGCAAAATGACAACAAAGAGACACAAAGGACAACAAAAAGAAACAAAAACAACTACAAAAGACACAAAATTACGACAAAGAGATATAAGAAACTACAAAAAGACAAAAAATGACTACAAAGAAACACAAAACAACTTCAAAGAGACAAAAAGTTTACAAAGAGATACAAAGCAGCTGCAGAGACACAAAAAGACTTACAACTATGAAAAGAGGCAAAACGACTACAATAAGGGACTTAACAACTACAGACAAAACAATAACGACCAAAACAATTGCAAAGTGAAACAAAACAAATACAAAGAGACACAAAATTACCACAAAGTGATGAGTACCGACTACAAAGAGACACGAAATAACAACAAAAGGAGGCTAAACAACTGTAAAGAGAGCTTTTTCATGTCTGTTCCCAGGGGCCCATTGTCTCATAATCCGCCTATGGCTCTGAGTGGTTTCTATAGAAAAAATGTATTTACTCATGATATTATAACCCCAAAAAAGAAGAAAGTGGCTGAAATAAAACACCAAAAAAGAGACTTTGCTTTTTTAACGGTGTTAAGTTGAAAAAGTATCATCTTCTACACCACATTGGTATTCACTGATTTCACTGAAACCAATATGTAATTTATGATGTTCTGTAATGTAATGGCATTCAATTCTACCACTGCAGGTGGCATGTGGCCATCTCTAAAAACTCTTTAAACTGATCAACACTGGCACTAATAGCTCAGATAGACCATTAACTATGAAATAAACAGTCTAAACTGTGAAAGATGTAATGAAGTCAAATATTGCTTTGAATTAAATAGAGACTTTATTGCATCTCAGTGGCAGTGTATGGTTATTCCATTCTTAATGTTCAGTTAATGGCTGCAAGCTATGACAATATTTTCAGGGCAATGAGTTTACAGCATTTTATTTTATCCGTCTTCTAAGACGCTGCGTGTTAGTCCCACAGTCTGTCCCCAGTGAGCTTTGGCGATACTATGCTGACACTCTATGGTGCAGCACAGTATTACTGCCTCACTGTAACAGGACTGGATCCTTTGCTACGTCCCTTTTCTGTCCAGTTCAATGTCCATGGGACCGTGATGTGAGAGCAAACTGTTGAGTGTCACCTCCCCGTCAGAGAGAGCCCCTGAAGTGCAGTTTGTTTTGCAAAAGAAAAAGCATGCAATTATATCTCACAAACATTCAGCAATATTCTATATTTGTCAGTGTTTCACTGCTATAGGGAGGTAGAGTGGAACTCTGATAATTTCAAAATCTACATGTTGTAGTGCAGATAACCTCTGATGCCAAAATGGACAAGTCTCACGGTATTCTGCTGTGTCATCTTCAGTTTCCTGTGCTCCACAGTGCTATCCTAAAAATGCTGAAAGAGGTCATAGAATCAGGCTACTGTAGGATAATAATCTCTAGGTTCTAGGTATATAGACCAGATGTATAACTGGCATGGCTTGCATCAAACATGTTTGCAGACGTTTAAAAAATTGCTTTATAAATTTGTAGTGAATCTCAAGGGAAAGCCTGACACATCGAGTGCAAAGTAGAAAATGATCTACTTGGTGTTCAAGATATGAAACTTTTTCACCAAACAGTTTGAAGGAAATACACTAACTCACTCTTTCCAGAGTTAGATACTGTAAGAAGATTGACACCACTGTGAGGCTGGAGCCTGTTAGTTTAGCTTAGCTTACGTCTTTGCCAGAAGAGAAGCAGGGGAAACAGCGAGCCGGCTCACTTACAATAATCAAAAACAGGAAGTAGAAGTAGCAAATCGGCAAAGAGTAGCATTTTTGCCTGATATCAAATAATCAATTATCACGATATAGAAACAAAGGGAAGAGACAAAAGCCAGAGTTAGATTCAGTTGTTTATTTAGCTTTTAGTGATTTTTGTAAAAGGGAATTACTCAGTCAGACCAAGCGTCCCTCATTCAAATAATAAAAATAAGTAAAAGTGAAATGTTTTCATGGAAAAAAAAAAAAAAAAAAAAGAAAAAAAAAAAAAAAAAAAAAAAAAAAAAAAAAAAAAAAAAAAAAAAATAAATCACAGTGAGGAGGACAGCACTGTCACTACAATTCATTCAAAACATTCTGGATTTTCTTGATTCACCCGAATTCATATATCAGAGGCTTATTGCTTTCCCAAACTGGAAAAGAGTATTATCAGTACCTGCCCTGGTGCACCAGAGGGCTGACACACCAACGACAATAAAACCACCACAGATACATGCAGGCCTGTTTCTCACAGTTGACATTTTGACTTCTCACCGCAGGAAAAGTGTCAAAAATGAAATGAACATTGGCTGCTTTGAATTCAGGTTCCTGATATTCGGCTCGCTGGCTCACCGTCGCTCTCACTGGGACACTTGAATGCGACAGAGTCATCGGTAGTGTTACTAGTAACACCTGTGCTTTTGAAGTCAAAACGTCTGCTGTAAGAGAGGCCTATTTACATACAATCCCACATTCAATAATTGTCTTCCTTTTTGTTTTCACTCGAGTGATCCCTGTACCGTTACGTCTCATCCAGAAGAAGGAAAACTCTTCATGTGCAATATGCTCTAAAATGCCACATCACTGTGACATCAGTCTCTGATCAAGGCGCAAGCAAATCATAATGAGAGTCACGGTGACCTTCCCTCAGACTGCCCATATGGTCTATGGCTCTCTCGGCAGCAGAATTTTCCCAGGATTCATCAGGTTCCTTGGGTCGAAGGCGTCCTTGAGACGCTGCATGACCTGGACAGCCACGGGTCCCATCTCTTCACACAGCAGCGCTCTCTTCCCTAAGCCCACTCCATGCTCCCCTGTGCATGTACCATCCATGGCCAGGGCTCGCCTGGAGGGGAAACGAATCACACGACCTTACTGATAACACAATATTTGTAGGTGTGTCTGCAACGACCACTGCTGTATAGTGTGATAGAATGAACACAAAACACATTTTGGCCAATTACCCGTCTATGAATCTATTTGCCACTATTACTGTATGTATGGCTTTCTTCATTTTCTCCGCTGTGCCAGTACCCTTTAGGATCTTAAGCTTTGTTCATACTCGTGCTTGGCGCCGTAGTGTGAGCCTCCGTAGACAGCGCGAGTTCCGGGTTTATACTCTGCACTGTGCGCTGCATTATTCTCCGAAACGCAAAAGGGCGCACAAACAAAATGAACTGTAAATAATCAGAAAGACAACAAGTGTAACCCAGAGATATGCTCATAGACTGTAGGAGTAAGCGGCAAAAAGCCATAAACCAAGCTTCACAATGACGAGGAGGGATTGTAATTACCTGTAAACTCATTTTCATGGACTACTTTATTACCTTTATACAAGATCTGTAAAGAAAATACTCAATTATTACATGTATTTTAAAGAAATGAAGGCTGAATACCCTGTAAACAATCTGATTTGGCTTGCTAAATATTTACCAAAAAGAAGATTTTGAACACCTCTTTTTTCTGAAGCATCTAAAAACGAATTGGCCTTCTTTGTAAAATCCCTAAACATTTAAATAGTGTTTTAATCAGTGAACTATTTGTGACAGTCACGTGGCGCACATAAACTAAGTATAAACTAAGCTTCAGACTGATCCGGGTACAGCCAAGTGTTTTTACAGGCTTTTCAGAAACAGATTTTGAGAAGCTTGTGGCGCCATATTGCAAAATGAACCCTTTCCGAACAGATAACACAGCGTCTTTTCAAAACTTGTAACTTAAAAGTTTAGTCCTCTGAAATCAATATCAGCTAAGAGAGACGGGTGAGAGGAAAGAATTAGGACAAAGTGTGGGGAGGATTAGGGAGAAGAGAAAGAAGTTGATGAGTGAATGACAGGAAAGATAACAAGGACAAGTGGCCACAAGGAGAAGAGAGGCTGGCTTCGGGGCAGAACATCTACTGAAGCTTGAAGCAAACTTTCTTTAATAACCCTTAAAAAAAACGAGAGTAATGCTGCCATGATAATCAGACATTCAGATGTAATCTGGACTTCAAACGATCTGTTCAGGATGATCGTATTTGTGAACGGGAAAGTGGTTCACAAAAAGTGAGCTTCAGGGCTTGTGAGTGTCAGAGGGGTGGGAGGTTTTTATTACCTGGCCAGTCTCTCGGCGAAGAGGTGGACCCTGTGCAGCTCCTCGGGGTCACCGGGGTCCACCACCATCAGGCAGTGGAAGTTACCATCACCCACATGACCCACTATGGGACCTGAAGGTACAACAGATAGCATGCACACTCGTTATGCTGGAAAACACACAGTATCATTTTTTATTTAACTTGTATTCCATCCCTTCTCTCATGATGAATCCATTGAAGCATTGATCCATTTTTTTTGTTAATGATGAAAAAACTGTTGAAACAAAGTTAAAGTAAAATACCTGCTTCGGAAAACCTGTACGCCACACTGCCAGTTCAACATGAAGTGCTATGATTTTATTGGGTGGCCCCACATTAAATGGTTCACACAAAAATGGGCCATATGGTAGATGTTGTAAATACACTACTTATTGGTAAATAACAATCAGTAGCAATAATATAACGTTTGCTCAACTGTCATGTGGTTGTAATGTATCCCTATGAGGTCTATTTTCTCTAGCAATAACGCATTATTAACTGTTCACATGTACTACACCATTGATATTTTTCTCTCCAGTGCACTCACCCGTAAGCCTGTTCTCAATCAGGTCCTCCTTTGTCTCCACTAGGATTTGAGGCAGGCGAGACAGAGGGACACACACATCTGTGGCGTAAGCCTGCGGGACACGCACACACATGCTAACTTATGTCACTTTTGGGAACATCACTTCAATTTAGATTCATTTCCTGAGACATACTTTAATCTTAACCGTAATCACAGCAATGCTTTATCCTAACCTAACCCTCAACTTTACCAAAACTAAACTTCCCAATTGCAGACAAGGATTTTGTCCCCAGTTCCTTAGTCTGAAATGTGTCCCTGAAGGGGGAACGAGGAGTTGTTTTGGTGGTGAAATGTGGCATCTTATTTTTCCTGAACCTGCTCTGTATACTTATCAAGTATCATATAATGTTATTGTTATCATATTTTTGTGTTTTAAGATTTGTTGGACATTTCAGTGATAAAACTAGCAGGTGACTGTCTTTACCTTACAGCCTGGTCTGAGAGCCAGACTGGCGTACCAGGCGTCATGACGGGCTTTCCACAGTCGCTCCCGTGTCTCTGCATCTCTAGCCCACTGAAAACCCAAACCGCCATTACTCTCAGTGATGTCCTCTGTGGAAACACACACACAGACACATACACACGTTTGTTTTTTACTTTTGCAAAACCCCTGTGAACGCGACCGTTTGGCTTTTAGTCGTTAGGGACCCCCCACACACACACACGTGCACACACACACCAGCTGTGTTGACCTGCTCCTGCAGGCTTCCCTCAGAGCCATGGAACTCCAGGAACAAACTCGGGGTCACGGCGTAGGACAGAGAGCTGAACCTGTTGCACGCGTCGATCATCACGTCATCCAGGAACTCTGAATGACGCACAGAGTCACAACACACAGACAACAAAGACAAATGTCAGTATGATGACAGACTTCTTTTACTTAATGGTCAAATACATATTTTCCGACTGCCAATGACAGCTATTGATTCTATTTGCAGAGCTAATGTTAGGATACATTTTATCCTCTTACTGCAGGTACCCGTTCTCTCTACGGGATCAATAAGCTTTCATTTTTTTTCAAAATACAGATCAATCAAATCCAACCAGTTTATATTACACTGCAGTATGTGTCGGCCATGTTGGGGTTATTTTGAAATCTGGTCTTGACGTCACGCACTTGCTTAGAACAATCGTAGACGGTGGACAGTTTCTGAGAATGTCTAAGTCAAGTTTAACTACATCACCTATTTTTGACAGGTGTCCACCGTCAATACTTCTGAAGGAGGAAGCCATCAAATCCCACTCATCACCGCCCAGTGACTTGTTTTCCACCCAGGGTTTAAAAACGTTTTTTAGGCATTTTGAGCGTTGCCTAGACCAGAGCCAGATGTAGCCAGTGGAGAAGACCTGTGCTGACCTGTGCTGTCTACAGCCGCCTGGACGGAGGGGAACGAGCACACGGCCGACACCGTGGCTTCCGGGATGCCGTACAGGCGCAAGGTAGTCTTGGTGATGATCCCCAGGGTGCCCTCTGACCCCACAAACAGGTTGGTCAGGTTGTAGCCTGCTGCAGTCTTCCTACAGATCCATAAAGATAAGAGAAGAAAGGGTGAAGTTTAAAATGCACGAGGCGTTGTTCGATATTTGAGGGTGCTAATAGCCCACGCGTACCTGGGACGTCGGGCCTTCCCGGCCGTGTGAACGACGCTTCCATCAGCCAGCACGACCTCGAGGTTCAAAACGTTTTCCCTCATGGTTCCATAACGCACTGCATTGGTGCCAGACGCACTGGTGGCAGCCATGCCACACAGAGACGCATCTGCCCCGGGGTCTGAGACGGTAAAAGAACACTAGCGTTTGACAATAATACTATAATCCTCTCACACTTTTTAAGACAGTACGGCAATTTTGAAAAAATATTCAATTGCGTTTATTTGAACTTATATTGCAAATTGCAATATGATTCGGGATAATAGAGGGAATAATCATTTTTACATCGTTACTCTCATTTTCATTAAAAAACATTAAAAGGATTAAAGGTGTGAGTTTTGCGAGAATTTGTACCAAACAAAGATATTTTCTTTAGTCTGTAGAACATGATGTGTCAACTGGGACGTCTCTGCATCACCACAATATTTCACACATCAATCAATCAGTAGCAGGTCACATATCCATCCTGTCATTTTCAGTTGACACGGGGGCTACAGTAGCGTTCACAAACTCAATGTCTTTCACATTTATCAGAACAATGTCTATTTAACAGCTGTTATTTCTATTTGTTGACTTACAACTTTGCATCAATGACATACATGATTATAATTAATTGTAGGACAACATGGTCAAGATTATTGGTAGCTGCTATCTCACAACAATGGATTGTCAATGCTGCTGTTTCACTATAATAAAAGCCCCACAGAGTCTTGTGTCTTCACCTCTCCACCTCTCTTTAGGACAGTGGAGGTGGGTACAAAATAAGCTTGATTGACATCTCCCTCTCTAGTTGGAACTGTAAAGGGTGAGGCCACTTAAAATTCTATTATTCTTATCGGTGTGTTCAGATATTTTTTTCCAGCGTACACCCACCCAACTTCAACCTAAACTGAGGTCCCAGGGCTCCAAACAGCACCTCGTAATTCTGAGCTCGACATGTACCGGTGCACGGGACTGTTCAGGGCCGCCAACTCTCACGCAGTTGACACTTTTCACTCGCTCTCAGCTCACATGTCTATTTTCTCACTGGACAAAAAAACGAATTTATAACTGATAACGTTGTGATGCGCAAAAAGAGGATGCTGACAGGAAAGACAGAGCAGCAGAGTTAAACACTGCAGCCCTATAAACACACAAACACATATGAACTCTTTGTTATTGGGCTACTTTGCATCTGTTTTTATGTGTATGTTATTGCACTATTAAAGAAATTGGAGGCGTTAACTTTTTCTTCCAACAGCCACTTTGGCTGAAACAGTAGGTGGGGGTATGCCCCTGTAAAGTTGGTTTGCGAATGCGATCCGCCAATAAACACAGAGCAAAACCTTAATCTGATTGGTCGAGAAGATACAGGAGGAGACGTAGCTAACTTACCGCCAGAAGTGTCTCTCTGCATGTACTTAACCAGCACCGATAAACTTTTGAAATCTGATAAAAAGGCAATTTATGGAAAAGTGTTTCCTTCGTGATATGATTTAGATCAAACATCAGCACCAACAGTCCAGCCTGGTTGATGCTATCAACGAGCTGTTCTTTAACATATGGGGCTAAACCGAATAGGACTGTTTTATCTTTTCCACAGGCAAACGTCTTGGCTATTTCCCAATCTGGGAACATTGCTTGGAAAAGATCTGAAATCCCAGACGCAGATGCAGATTAATTTTTTCCACTGGAATTAATTTAACTTGCTGTGAAATGTTTCCGTTTTAAAAGCCGGTGTGACCGGTTCTTCCATGTGTTCTGCTCACGGAGTGACTGGAAAACACAGAGAAAGCTGAGAGCGTGACTGACCGACAGGAAACCACAGGCCGGTGTCTCGCAGGTAGGCGTTGAGGGCCTTCCGAGTCACTCCGGGCTCCACCGTCACGTCAAAGTCGTCCTGGTGGAGATTCAGAACCTGGTCCATGTTCCTCAGACTGAAGCACACGCCACCCTAAGGGCAGAAGGAAGACACACGTAGACACACGTAGACACACGGTACATGCACACACACACACACACACACACACACACACACAAAAGAGCCACAGATTAATTTTTTTCATATTTAGTGTATTTTCATGTGGCATTTATCAAAGGCAGGGTGGGTGATCTTGAGAAACTAGCACGAGTAGGCTAGATTTTTAAAAATGATCCAAACCTAAAAATCCAGCTAACTGTTGCTAACTCTTTTCCAATGAAAGTAGCTAACAGCGCTAGCTCTAAAAGTTGCTAAATGTAGCGAAAAAGTCGGCAAGTTGTCACCATTGACAACCCGTCCCTTCAAGAGTCCCAAAGCCACTCCCACAAAATAATAATAATTATGAACATTAGGCTAGCAGCTTGTGGAAGATTTTGGTGACGACTAATGAGTGCATACAGGTAGACAGGGAGGTAGCCCGTCCTTTTATTGCCAGAGCATTTGAGTGATGGGCTGCGGTCGAAAAGCCATAAAATGACCTCCTAACGTCTATTCCTACCACTTTTCCTTGACCTCGATTGAAAACGTCATGAGGTCAAGGAAAGATGTGAAGGAGAATTCATGAGGAGTTAGGAAAAGACTACCGCGGTACTGAAGTCCACTTCTACTAAACATAATTATGATGTCACTGTCGTAGGTCTGCCATGGAGAAACTACAATGTAGAATGACAACAAAATAATAAATGCGAGAGGCTGCTTCACTCGTGATGTAAAGGAGGGAAACCAGAGCTGTCATAGACCGAGCTTGTTTTCGTTTTTTTACTGATGCTTCTTGTTTTTGAGAATGACAGTTTGCTATATTTACTTTTCATTTTATTTGGTTACATGTCAGAAGTGAATAAATACATATCAAATTAAATGAAATGGTTGTCATTGTCTATTCATACTCATCAACATGAATTCCATTAGTTTATGACTGTATGAAAATAATTGTTGAACCTGTGCAAGAATGGTGCGTTACTTTAAATGTTGCCGCCGCAAGGAATTGTGGGGCGGCATTATCTTCTTTCCTTTGGTAAAGGATGGTCCAGTGTTTCCTTTGCTAAAGGAGATGAGAAATGAAGCATTGAAGCACCTTTCCTTAACAGTTTGAGAATTCAAACAGCTCTTTTCATGGCCACTTAGATACTTCCGGTTCATTTCATTCAGTTAAGAACCTTCTTAAGCAAAAAGGACTTCTCGACCGCAGCCAAGGTTTGCTTTCAGGATATAATGAGAATTTCAACAAAAAAATCCAGAAAAGTTTTTGAAGAATATTACTAACCCTGCCTTTAAATGTAAAAAGGCGTCACTCTTTGTGATGAACCTAAAGTGAATGATCAGCTGATCTGCAGCTCCCCTCGGCTTCATGCAGCTTTATAGTGAGTTTCAGCTTATTGCTTAACTGTTCGGCCCACGAATTCACTGTTCTGTTTCACGCTTAGCGCTCTCATAGCCTCGTTTTCTGCCATCTTTAGTGAAAACATCAGACTAAATATCAGACAAACACAGTCAGAAACTAGTTGGTGAAAGAAGCAGAGCATTTAGCAACTAAAGTATATTTCTCTCAGGAGACAGGGTTGACATTTTGTTTGATTCTGCAAAAGTCGTACCACCACTGCTCTCCTATTTGCTTCCTTATATATCTTTGCAGATTTTTGCTCAAAACAAACCTAAAAGTGCACATTATACTATACAACACATTACTAATTAATTACTGCTCCTATTTCCAAAGAGTTAAGGCACACACGCTCAGTCACAGATATACACACACACAAACAGGGGCTTCCTCTCTCTCACCTTGACTGCGCTGACCCCTCCCTCCAGGCCAGTTCCAGTGCCAAAGGGGATGATGGGAAGGCGGTGGCGGCTGCAGATTTTGGCCAGGGAGCTGACCTCCTCCACACAATGGGGAAACAGCACCACATCTGGGGGGCAACATCTGGACAGCAGTAAAAGCAATGCTCGCTCACTGTTCTCCATATTTCTCCAGTGAACAGAACCTTTTGTTATTACCGCTTGTCGGAAAATATCTTATTCCTAGTGATGGCGATTTAAAGGAAGTATTAAAGTACTGGTGTCATGATGGAGGTCCATGTGAGGAGATGTCTGTGTGCAAATGACCTCCAATCCCAACAGACATGAAAGGGACGTGATAAAGGTACACACCTTTTAGTTCTGTCGAATAGGCCAAGCTGCATCAGCTGTACTTATCAGTGTTTCTATATAAACTAACCAGTGTTTTCATATAAACAATGGATGACTATTTGTAATGCAAAAGAGGTCATTCACAGAGAATTATCCAACGCTACAGCTTCACCTAACACTTTGGAACTTTATATCCTCTTTAAAGTGGTAAGCCCATTCGCAAAGTTTCCCTCCATAAGGCCTTAAACCCTGAACCCTCAGGGACGTGATGTCACCAGGTAAAGGTGAGAGTGTCTGAGTCTGAAAGAGCTTGAAATCAAGGCGGGTTAATTTTGATCAGTTAATTTGAATTTATGGTTTAGGACCATAGACTAAGATAAGAAGTGGATGTGTTCATCGTGACTTTTTACAACCGGTGATACTATATTTGGACCGCGGAGGGGTGACGTAGAGACGCTGTATCTGGTAGCAGCAGCGTCCTGTCAATCACAATAAGCCTGCCCTAAATCATACTCCTCTTTATGGTCTATTTGACTCTAAATGGACCGTAATTTACTAAATGAACATCATGCTGTATTGCAGAAGACTTGAAACTAGAGATTGATACCATAACCTCATGTTTACAATGTTTACTGAGGTAATAAATCAAGAGAGAAGTAGAGTCATTTTCTCATAGACTTCTATACACCCAGAGGAGTCGCCCCCTGATGGACAGTAGAGAGAATGCAGGTTTGAAAACACTTCCGCATTGGCTTCACTCGGCAGAACCGGAAGTCACCGCCTGTTTAGGACGATGAAAAATGAAAAGCAGTTTTAACTCGAACTTAGATTATAATAGTCCTATTGTACGGAACCACCACTACTTCCGATGGTGTATTGCAAAACTCTGATGAATTAGTGCGTAGGTTGTGTGCGTTAAGGAGTGTGTGGTCGAGAAAGAGTGTGTGCGACGGTCACTGTGAGGTTACCAGTAACGTAGCTGTGAACATAGCAGTACAGTGTGTGTACAGTTTATTTGTCTGTGAATAAATGATACAACTCCTCAAGACCTAAACTACGCTCCTGTGTCTCGCTCGCTGATTAAAGTGAAGGGGCTTAACCCCGAGGTGAGCAACAACTTAAGGAGGGCTGATCTTTAAGGTGGACCAGCTGTTCTCGTTTTAGCGATGAGCTGCTTCTCCGAGTTTTGCTCGGTAAAAGCAGGTAACATTACATAACATTTTCTTACAGTATCTCGTGTAAGAAGAAGGGAACCCTGGTGGAAAGACATCATAGATTGCGGTGGCGTTTTACAACGTGTTTGTTTGCTTTGTAAATCTTTTTTATTGATAAAATAAAAACAAAACTTTATTTGAATAAATTCTCTATCTTTTGTAGGTTACTTTTAAGAACAAAAAAACAAAACAAAAAAAAGAACGATTCAAATTGTAAATCGGGTGTGGATTGAAAGATCAAAGATTTTAATTTTTAGCTATATTGCAGAAATGCAGACTTATGGAAAGTCTTCATAAAGGGCTAAACATGTCTTCAGAGAGCCCTAATGGTGAACTCTAACCAGTTAACTACATTATGTCTCAAGAAAATCCCAAAGCTCGAGGCTTATGTTAATGTATTCTTTTGGGATAACATGTTGTTTTTTTGTATATTATTGAAAACACCATAAACATACAATATTATGAGTGCATGTCTGCATGACAGAGTGAAACCGACCTACCTGTGTACGGACTCGTCTTTGCCGTGTTGCTCTCTGACAGCTTCACCCAATGAGACACCGTCCTCACCACATATAGACCTGAATGCAGACAGCACGCTGTCCAGAACGGCACTCTGTGCAGACACACACAGTGATGGAGGGTGAGTCATTCCAAGAGAGTGGGAGGAAGAGATAGAATATAACATGTTGCACTCAAATAGAACAGTACAATGAACATGGGCCTAGATATGTTAGGATTCATCTCTTTTGTAGAGAGGAAATGTCTAACTCCTTTCAAACCATAGACTTTACATAAGAAGTGGACATAGTCACCATGATGTCACCTGTTGGTTTGTTGAATATCATTTTGAAGCCTCGCGTTCTGCATTTTGGTCGTCGCAATTTTTTGTAGTGAAAAGTGACACATGAGGGTGGAGCTAAGTGCAAGCAAATGCTGAATAAGACACTTTTAGGCGACCTGAATATTACCTATTAACTTTCATGAGCTGAAAACACACCGTGAAAGGGTTAAAGTTCTGAGACAAAAACACTGACAGCGTAGAGACCTGTCAATCACAAGATAGCTCCGCCCTAAAGCATACTCCTCTTTATGATCTATTTGAGTCTAAAGGAACCATAATTTACTAAATGAACATCATGCTGTATTGAAGAAGACTTGAAACTAGAGATTGACACCATAAACTCATGTTTACTGAGGTAATAAATCAAGAGAGAAGTAGAGTCATTTTTTCATAGACTTCTGTACAACCAGAGGAGTCGCCCCCTGGTGGACATTAGAGAGAATACAAGTTTTAAGTCACTTATGCCGTGTTCACACCAAATCACGCGATTAACGCGTCATTCGCGCCGCTGGTCTCGCCGGGGACTATTTGTGTTCATTTGCGTGAATCGCGCTGGACACGCCGGAGAGGGGGCGTGGCTTATCACCCTGGAAGCCACTCTGGAAGACAGTTCAACTGTCCGCCATCAACGATGGAAAAAATAACCTCTATTTCTGCTTAGTACGTGTTGTGGAAGTCCCAGATATCCCGGGAAACTAAACACCGTCATGTCTGGTTCATAACATTGTCCAGAGGAGCTCCGTGAATTTTATCGAGCTGTATTCACTGTGTCTAGCAAGCCATACGTTGCTGTTTACTACAGCTGTATGAACCCAAAATAAACTGATTTGGCTGTGATTTAACGGCAATAAACCGACAAAAGGGACTCCGAAATAACTACGTAATGATGCCGATTTGTAAAAAGTCTGAATTCATGTTTAGTTAGTTCTCTCCGCAAGGTTTACACACATACATTTATACACATAGTTTGGTCCGGTCTCTATTGATATGAGGTATAGTAGAGCCCTGGGTGAACACAGACGGCTACAGTATTTGTTTCCTGATTCAACAACGGCAGGACGTCAGTGACGACAGGAGAAACATCTCAACGCTGATAGGCTATCGCGCCGCAGCGTCACGCCATTTTTTCGCCGAAGTTGAAAAATTTCAACTCACGTGTTTGGGGCATTTTGCCGATTGATGCGCCAAACGCACCAAAATTCGCGTCACTCTAGTCTCATTGCGTCTGTGCATAGACTTTGTATGCAATCTACTTCCGCGAATGACTTGCCCCGCGTTTGGTGTGAACGCACCATTATACATCAACTTCAATTTTCCAGACCCAGAGGTTGCCATGTGGCTGTAATAAAAGATGGGTTGATCTTAAAGGGACCCTTTAGATCTGTGTAGACCTCTGCTCCAGCTGCGTAGCATGACCTTTTATTTCACTTGTAACTGCAGAAATAGATTGCAACGGCGGCGCATACATGCTGCGGCCAGTAGCTCCCATGTATTTTGCTACAGTCTTGTCTTTATTTTTTTTCATGTTTATCACTAATGGCATATGCCATATGGCACAATACATTCATCACCATCGGAAAAGGAAGCGTGGGGATTGGATCAAGTGCAACAAACTTTAGACGATCACCATTACATGGCCGACCAACCAGCCAGACCTGCAATACCAAACACCACCAAACTGCCCCATGGGCAGGTAACGTGAGTTATGACCACCATGTCATTACGTTGCGTGCTTTATTAGCTACGTCACTGGGTTACTTACTGGATTTATCAACGCTAGCTAACGTCACGCACAGGGGCAAAAGTAACAGGCTAATACTGTCTCTGCTGCCGAACTGACAGTAACGAGCTAATACTGTCTCTACTGCCGAACTTAAACAGGCTAATACTGTATCTGCTGCCGAATTTACAGTAAGCTACTGTCTCAGCTGCCCAACTTACCCTGGCGGTGTTTTCTGTTTTAATGCTGCGACACTGCAGGAGGCAGTGCCGGCGAGAAAGCAGCCGTCGGCTCGGTGTCAAGCCAAGCAACATTTTAGTGTCAATGAAATATGTCACTGACTGGCTGACATCTAAATAACACAGACAGTAAACATCTGGCTAAACTTCCGGTTAATTCTTTTCAGAATAAAACAAAACTAATAAAGATGTCTAGCGTAATCTCAAACAATTATACTGAACATGCTTATTGTAATAATTGTTTATATTACTAATACCTCTCTTCATCTTTATTTTGGTACAGTCAGGTTAAAGGTTGCATGTGACCTCACTGTTCAGCAGTGGCGGAAGCAGTATTCAGATCTTTAACAATTACTTAAGTAAAAGTAGCAATACTGCAATGTAAAAAATACTATGTAACAAGTTTTCAACATTTTACTAAAGAAAAAGTATTGACATCAAAATGTGCTTAAAGAGCAAACTTTAAGAGTATTAATTACACAGAATGGCCCATTTCGTAGTAGTATGTACTGTATATGATATCAGTATAATTAGTGATGCATTATCACTTTGTTCATCACTTAAATGTTGCAACTGGTAAAGACTTTATTTGCTTTATACACTGCTGGGTATCTTAACCTACAATAATACATCATGATTTATTTGTTAATTATATTTTTGCCTTAATAATCTGGATCTACAAAGTAACTCAAGTTGTCATGTAAATGCAGTGAAGTAAAAGTACAATATTTGACCTTGAAATGTAGTAGAGTAGAACCATAAAGTAGCATAAAATGGAAATACTCATGTAAAGTACAAGTACCTTAAATTTGTATTTAAGTACAGTGCTTGAGTAAATGTACTGAGTTACTTTCCACCACTGCTGTTCAGTTTTATTGCACCCTTCATTGTTGTTGTCTGTGTAAGGACAGCAACTTTTTTAAATTAACTTTTCATTACGTTCTTTGTTGAGATGTTTCAGTGATCTAGGCTGCAATACATGAAAAGGAATATCCAGCATGTGTTAATACCTAACTTAAAACCTGCTACTGGGTCCTACCAGTTTGGACCCTCAAGCATCACCAGAAAAGATTTGAATCATCTCGAGAATATTTTTTGAGTGTAAATCTGATGTACGCATGATTCCAGTTTTGAAAACTGTAATGTGGAAATTTGAAACCTGTGGTGCGCATTCAATGATAATTGGCTATTCACTGAAGTAAGAGACATCTTGTGTCCAATAAAATTAAACACAAATATTTGCATATTCATTCTGGATTTTTCAATGACAGATATGGAGTTGATGTAATTGTAAGAACTTTTAATTTAGGCAACACTCTTTTTTCAACATTTCTTTTATAAGACACAATAACTGTTCCAGAGAGGGTATTTTAACATAGGCGTCAGGAACAAATTAGAACCAAAATTCCTTAACCCTTGATATTTAGAGATCCACAACTAAATCTTGAATATATTGATGCCTGCCATTACAATGTATTAACCACAAAATGCTGTTGAAGTGGATTTAGAATTTTTCGCTGGAAGTAATCATTTTGTCGTAACATAAATGTGGATGTGGAATGAATATTTCCACGTTTGTGTTTTTAGCAAATCGTATTTTGAAGTCTACCTCATGAGTTTCCGCTCATCTCTTCGCTAATGCTGGCGATCTTGACGAGCTTGCAGGGGGTCGCGGTGACGCCATGACGCTCTCGTGCCAGTGGATGGCGCTGCAGGGCAAAGAAAATAACCGTCAGGGTGGCCTCAAAGTGACATTTAGGGAAGTGCAGGTGGAGCAGAAAGCTGCTTCTGTCAACGTCGGCAACTCTGCTATTCTATAACGTATTCAGTCGTAAAGTAAGTCCATTGTTACCGTGACACCGTACTAAATTAGGCCCACAGTAACGCCATATGTTATGAAGTCGCTTTGCGAGGCCTTATGGGTATTGTTGTCCTTACATGTTGTGCTTGTTAGCATTGTTAAGTTAGCAGTTCAAAGTGCGACGCTGCGTATCAGTCATACAATTATGAACAGTCAGACTGTCACTTCAATGTTTCCGTGCACGTGAAGTCGCTTAAGGACGTCACATATCACTCGAACCACTTCTCTGATTTCAAATAGTTACCTTGCTAATACAGTCAAGTGGACTTTATTGAGGTAACTTTAAACGACTTTTAACGGAGAAACTAATCATCCATCCAACGTCCACTGTGGAAGTGTTGCCTGAAAGCTTATGTTTAGCTTGCTAATCCGCTCCACCTGCGTTGATTACTGTAATGTATGTACCGATCTTACCATAAGGAACTAACAGCTTGGCAAATGTCTAAATGTACCCGCTACTTGGTAGTCATCGTTTGCACAAGCAAGGCGACTTTAAATTGACAGGAGTTTTGACGTAGTATGGTGGAAAGACATTTTTTCGAGAAAACCTAACGAAATAGTCAGTTTATCCCCAATTGATAAGTAATTACATTCACGAAGCCGTTACTTGTTGATTATTTAAAGCCCTTGTAATAGCGTGTTACTATCCCATAAACAGTTGTGTTGTCGAGAGGCCATGTACCCCGTAGACCTTCCAGCCGTGGTCGACACTGACCTGACATCAGCATCTGAGGAGTACCTCTCCTCTTTGGAGTCAAGGCCTGATGATAACGAGTGGTTTCAATTATCACAGACTTCAAAGGTACCATAACACTTATAACAACCTTTTCCATAATGACCATTATGGTGTTTGTTTTTTTACTATTTCCAATTCAGTAAAGTAAATCTCTACAATATTAATATATTGATTACTTCTCAATTGAATTACTGATAACACTTGGGAGCATGGTGGAGGTGAACATTCTTGACACTGGTTAATCTTTTGGTTCCTGAAAGGTTTCCTCTGTAGTACAGCCATTCTGTTTGACATTAGGATGTTTTTGGAAACGAGTAGAGAGCTTTTGTTGAAGTTGTCTTCCTGTCAGCTCAGGTAGCGATAACAGCAAACCATGTGAGGCGGTTGCAGCTGTTTGAGGACGACCAACCCGACTGCCCACTGCTGGCTCTTCACCCTCCTGATGATCCAACACAAGGTTAGAGACTGAACTCAGTGTCCTTATCAGACACCCATGAAGACAAAAGACTAATGCTCTCTGCTCTACTTTCCAGTGGTGGCTTTATACCTGCATGAGACGTGGTGGCACGTGGACGACGTCTTACGCACTTCGAGCAACTCCAGAATTGGTTTGATTTCGGTAACTGATGTCAGCATTTAAAGTTACAGTTGGTGCAATGTGTGTGACTGAGAATGGCAATTGTACGGAAGCCGAGAGCAGCCGAGTTTGCAGTCATTTTTTTCTACTCCGGTATCCTCAAGATCCTTCGTCATCTTGGGATAACAAAGATGTTTTCTCACAATAATAAGTTAATTAACGAGGCAATTATCTTGTTCTTTTGAGAAAACAAATACTGTTATCCTGATTTAAAGTGATATTTTTAATTTTACGGCATTCAGTCATGCTTATTTGAGTATAATAGAGGAATGTACGGCCTGTTCCTGCCGACTTTCTTGGCTCCAGAATTTCGTATTAGAAGTTCAGAATAGCTGATTTACATGTTTATTTATGAGACATGACTCATTTTCTTAAAAACTTCTTTATAACATTATAATTTACTCTCGAACTTGAGATGAAGATTTCAAAAATATTGTGCGATTGGGATTCTTTTCTATTCATTAAACTACAGGCCTGTATTTGTGGTCGACAAGGTATGAGTTTACAATTTATACACAAATGTTTTACAACTCTGGAGTCGGATAAAATAGTGAAGTTGCTTATCATCGAGGTCATCCAAGGGTCAGTCAGGAAAATGTCAACTTCTAAGTAAACTCTAAAGAAAATGTGAAGTCAGCAACTTAATAGAATGATGAATCATGTTTTACAAAGTTTATGTTGGACTAAAGACACAGTTATGAGGTTGATGGCGCTGCACTGTAGCGGCTTGAGCTAATGCTAGCTTCGCAGAGTGATAGTTACTTTTTTTGTTGTTTTACCAGTTGACAGAGTTAAAGTTGTTTAGGCTATGAAACCAACAGTCGTGGCTTAAATTTTCATTTGCTGCTGCTTGTTTTATCGTTTTATCTGGCATATAAATCCCAGTTAAAATCTTAGCTCTTCTCGATTTTAAGGTTGCGATTTTGCCGTGCTGGTTGTTCTCATCGGTTCGGTGTCCATGTTTGGCCCAGGTGCAGTCGCTTATGGAGAGGGTGATTGTGTTCCTGCTCAGTCAGGTGGTGGAGAGGTCCTCCCAGGAGAAGGTGTTGTTCTCCCTGCACCCCCGCACCGAGAGCTGCAAACTGCTGTGGAGAGACGGCCAGGCGGTCGGCTTCTACACCATCAAACACAAAGGTAGGGTGGAGGAGGTTGCTCCTTCCTGCTCCTCTGTCACAGATGTATTTTTACATGTCAATTTCTAGCATTAAAATAAATTCCCAGGCAGCAACTTCCTGGTCTGAAAAGTGAAGCTAATGCAGAAGTGCCTTAAACCTGTATTCTTTCTACTGGCCATCAGGGGGCGACTCCTCTGGTTGTATATGAGGAAATGATTCTACTTCTCACTTGATTTATTACCTCAGTAAACATGAGTTTATGGTCTCAATCTCTAGTTTCAAGTCTTCTTTAATACAACATGATGTTCATTTAGTAAAGTATGGTCCATTTAGAGTCACATAAAATATAGGCACCTGAAATTGGATGTTTGCACGGCAAGTCTCAGAGCTTAACAAGTATCCATAGAGAACCTGCATCAATTACCACAGTGCCATTAGCAAGAAAAAATTATACTTTTTAAGAAATGTAATGATGTTAGATTCCAAAAATCAAATTGAAAACATTTTTGGGATCCGCGGTAACCCTGTTAAAACAGAGTAGGCTTGTAGCCTATCGCAGGTTGGTTAAGACTTCTATTAAGCACAAATCAACTGAATGGAAATAGATGCATCCACTAACCTAACCATAGCCATAATAGTCAGCATGCTAGTGATTAGCATATGCTAATTTAAAGGACTATCATAAACAGAAAGTTAAAATCAGTTTGGCTATATGTATAAGTATCATAGATCAAGCCCAGATGTTTATGTGGTGCTTTTTATTCTCAGCCCTCTTGTGTCTCTGGTGGTTGCACTAAAACCAAGATGGTGACGGCCAAAATGCCAAACTCAAGGCTTCAAAACCAATGGTTGAGGTCACGGTAACTACGTCCACTTATTAGATACAGTCTATGATTCCTCCTTACTTACAGGAATGGCGCATTCTGTCTCTAAAAAAAAGACAACTACTATATAAAGAGGTAATTATTACTTTTTAAATGTAAGTATATTCAATTCATTATTGTAGAAAAAAACATGCAGACCATAAATATGATCAAAAACATGGTTATGGTTCAGAAAAATGAAAGGACCATCATCAAAAGGTTTTGTGAATGTAATATTGGCCGTTATGAAAATTGTTAAACTCTTTTGTTGGATTGTGCTCTACTCTACAGTTGTATGTGTTATTTACTGTAATGATGTGCATTGGTTAAAACTGTAACTCACGTATTTCAGGCAGTCTGTGTGACGGCTGGAGCGGTCGCTGCTACCTGTTGCCTGCTCTGGACACGGTGCTGGTGAGGAGGAGCTGGAGGAGGAGAGGCCTCGGTCTTCAGATGCTGGCAGATTTCTGCTCCTCATTCTCCGCCGAGCAGTTTCTGGGAGTCAGCTCTCCATTATCACCCAGCATGGTGGCAGGTCAGCCAAGGTTCTCTTTTGTCCCCCGCAAAGCCCATTTATTCGGTAATTTACATTCTCGTTCTCTTCCTTCCTTCATTTTGTATTATCTAGATGACACTTTCGTCATATTTGGCAGATGAATGTATATTTCCTGTAATTTCTTTTGTCGTGATCCTGGCTGCATTGACGCCGTATGGTAATAATTAACAAAATTACTTGAAAATGTTCACATCCCCATGCACTCCAAGATGATTTATTCATGTTCCATGGCAGATCAAACACCTAAAAGTCACAACACTATAAAGATCAAGTAGTTTTTTTCCGCTGTGGCATTTTAATGTCAATTCCCTAACTATTTCCCCACAATGCCACAGAGATCCTCTGATAGTAATGACTATCTGAAAGCTGAGCGTAACAGTGTTTGATTTTTAAGAAGGCAGTGTGTGAATGCAGCACAGACACTCGCTCAAGCTCTTCTTTCTTTCTTTTAAATGAACTAATGCTATAGCAACCAGTTAACAGGTTGTGTCTCCTGTGTGCTCAGTGTGCAGGAGCTTTCTGCTGCAGCACAAGGAACATCTGGAGCATCTGTATGAGGTGGAGGCTCCAGGGGGCTGGACTCAACGACGGAACATCTGGCTCAGCATCCGGCTAGGTCGCTACTCCCTCGGTGCGGATTATATTTATTGAATTTTTTTAATTTCATTTAGATGCTTTTAAGAGTTTCACAGATTAGATGTCATACTGAAAAGCATAGTTTCACAAAGATTCCAATGTTTTTTTGAGCTTGTCTACATTTGGGCTGACAGTGCCTGCAAGCAAGTATGGATGTGGCTAACAGTGCTAGCTGCGCCATTCGGCTAGCCGCGCTAATGTTCTAGCCGCACTAATGTTCTAGCCGCACTAATGTTCTAGCCGCGCTAATGTGTTAGCAGCGCTAATGTGCTTGCTGCGCTAATGTGCTGGCTGCGCTAATGTCTAACAGTGCTACTGAGAGGCGTTTCTAATATTTATTCATATTGGATGGAAGAAATTCCTAAAAACCCTAAAATTGTAACCTTACTGAGTTAAACATTTATTGCAGGGCTGATGTATTACACTGCATTAGCTTGATCAAAGGTCAAATAAAGGTTTGATAAAGTAACAACAAAACTATATATAATATTTAAATGTATTAGCCTACTTTCACGTACACACCTACCGTTTGTCTTCTTGGTACTCAAACATCAAAAGGTTGATAATCAGTGTGATAGTCCTTGTACAGTTAAATGCACAAACATCACTATACATTCAATTTAAGAAGTAGTTGTACCTCATCTGTGTCACGTACATCAGTTGTCATTAAGCAGGACAGACTTCAACACAAATGGGACATTTCATGTCTATGATACAGTGATCATGGAGGCTACAGTAACTTTTTGACTCTGGTAAGAGAGGTGAGCTCTTACACTGCCTGACAAACAATAAAATAAATGGAAACCTTCTCAAGCATAAGCAAGCCCCTGACCAGACAAAATGTATTTCTGGTAGACTTCAACAATTCATATTTAGAAATAATTTATTATTACTACAATTCAAAGTCCCTTTCAAAGATATGTGCAGATCAAGCACCGTGCCATGTTCTTTTCTGAAGCTGACTTGAGACCAGGATTCAGAAACAGCATCAACATGCTGGTCCAAATGGATGGAGCCATGAACTTGAGGTGCTGGTCTACCGGTCTGCCTGTGGAGTCTCCTACAGCAGTGATTCTCAACTGGTGGGTCGCGACCCACTTTTGGGTCGCGGGCCTTTGCCTGACAAAAAAAAAATAAATGTGATTTTATTTTGAAGGGCATGTTTTATGCAGCGGCATTATTCCAGCATTTACGGCACTTTTTCAGCGGTGTAGGAAAAACACCGACCGGTGCGTTGTGAATCACATCACGTGATGCAGCTCAGCCAATCAAATATGGGTATTCTGACAAGTTTCCTGACTTGAGTGAGATGTACACACACCGTGACACACGGGGGAGAGACGAGGATACAGAGAGCAGAGCAGGACTGCTGAAGTGTGAGTTGTGAAAGTCAAATCATAGGACGATTTCCAAAAGAGAAAAATGGCCAGAGAGACCAGAGTCATTAGACTCTGACTGGACAGACTCATATAAGTGAATTCTTCCCACACTACTTTCTCTTTTTAGAAGATGAGAAAAATATAATGTTTTGGCTTTTTTACTTCACCCTGAATGAACTGAATTTAAAGCTGCAGATCAATTCAGTGAAAGTTATTTTTGTAAAATGAATTTTGTTATGTAATTTATTTTTTAATCCAGCCTTTATTTTACTTGAAATGAGAAGAACATTTATTTATGTATTTCTATGTATTATTTATAATCCATCCAGTTAAATTTGAAAAATGAGAATAATATTTGTTAAAATATAATTGATGTGTATTTTCTTTAGTCAGTTGTTTACTACACAGAGACATTACTACTACTAGACTTCTTGAATATATATATATCTATCTATATCTATATATCTATATATATCTATATCTATATATCTATATCTATATATATATATATCTATATATATCTATCTATATATATATCTATATATCTCTATCTATATATATATCTATATATCTCTATCTATATATATATCTATATATCTATATATATATCTATATATCTATATATATATCTATATATATATCTATCTATATATATATATATCTATCTATATCTCTATATATCTATCTATATCTCTATATATCTATATCTATCTATCTATCTATCTATCTATCTATCTAGATAGATAGATAGATAGATAGATAGATAGATAGATAGATATCATTTGGGTCGTGGGTCGCGGCTTGTCATTAAGGGGTGATGGTGGGTCCCACAGCCAGACCAGTTGAGAACCACTGTCCTAGAGGGTCACTGCAGACATCTTTGTCATGCCACTTAAGTTATGCACCTTAACTTTGCAAGTGCAAAGTCTATTGTTTGTTCACAGGTAAAGTTAAATCAGTTTGGCTAAGTAGCCAAACTGATTTAACTTTACCTGTGAACAAACAATCGACTCTGAGACCAAAGATTGTTCGTTAGATACACCCAAGCCAAATTATATCTAATGTTTAACCGCTACATAGTCGTCAATACCAGCGGAAAGTTTCAAAAAGACTTGCTTAGATAAGGCTGTTCTTGGCGGGTACTGTGAGCACTGACCCCCGGTGCTGGCGAGGCTTACTGCCGGTCCCGCTAGTGACACCTCACATCTCCCAAATTGTCAGAGCAAATTTTTAAGTAGACTGAATCTTTTCAAACCGACCACAGATTTGCACTTTAGTGCAAAGACTTGAGTCTTAGAGTGGAGTTGAAACATCAATGATGCAATAAAATCTTGAAAAGATTTTAGTGTTTAGAGAAACCAAAACACAGTAGTCCTGTAATAAATACCAGTTTACAATAATGCTCAGTTTTTATTGAATCTGTCAGAGGCATCCTTTCAGAGTGAGAAGTTTTGAGAATATACATGGTAACAAACACTAAACATTATGAGCTTCAACAAAGTGGAACTTTTTTTCAGGATGTAGTCCTGCAGCCTATGCCGATGATCTAGACTCTGGACCTCCCACCAGACCACCACCGTCCCTAAACACAAAACACACCCTGAAATCCAACCCTTCTCCATCTGCAGAGTCTCACGGAGAGAAGCCAGAGGAGGGAACACAAAGCAGTGCCAAACAAGTCAGGAGGACATGAGGTTATGCGGACACAGGCAACTTGTGCAACAGCAGGAACTGTTTTTACAGATAAAGTGGATGATCTATCCTCCTAAACTTAGATGACCTCTATTTATGGAATAAAGTTTACAGACCTTCTATAGACTGATGTATGGATAAATTTACTGTACAGCACAATATCCCAAAGCATGCAATAAACTATTTTAGTACAATAATACAAATTGTCTGTTTCCCTTTGATATTAAGATTTTATAACGGGCTGTATAAGTGTTCCTTCATTGGCATCTGTCACTTTCCTGTTACCTTTGTTTATTAGTACATGAAGTTTAGTGACCTCACACAATAGGCTCGTTCGAGATGAGCATCCTACGCAGAATCAATTACCAGCAATCAGCCCACAATGCATGCCGGTTAGATTTGTGTCCGACTTGATCCCAACTTGCTCTGACGTCATGCACACGTGGGCAACGATAACCTCACGAGAGCGAGGCAGCCGGAGATTTTAGAAGCCAGGCTCCGCAGTTGCTCTCCACTGACTGCATGACCCAGATCAGAGAGCTGATTGGCTCTTAGATTTGACAACAAACACCCTGTTTTGTAGAACATCCTAATTTTCTGTGTAATTGTAATATTCAGTGCTTGATGGTTGGCTATTAGTCTCAGGTTTAAAATCATATCTTGTGTGGTTGATAATAATAAAGCTTATTTATACAACACAATATCAAAACGAGCATCAAAGTGTTTCACCGGCCGACATAAAAAGAACAAAAGATAGCATACAATGCAGATACACAATAGTTTCCACATACATATATATTTACAAACACATGAATACATCCAAACGAGGTCTGCAAAATATAAGTAGCCTACAGATTGTTTCTTTGACTTCCTGTTTATTCTTTGAAGGCGGCTGAAAACTGTCCGACTCAACTGCAGGTTTTTTTCCAACGCTCCCTGCTGCTACCTGCTGCTATTAACAGGTCTAATCAGAAAAAACTACAAACACCCGTGTGGCTGTGCAAGGCCTTTTTCACTTGCTTCACTTGATGAAGCTAAACATAAGACTCACTGTATCAATCAAAGCATGCATACATAATATGTGCAGCGGGGAAAGTAGCCCACTATGTCTTTGTAGCTTTGAGATGTTGAATCACTTGGTCCCATGATTGTCAATGTCTCTGCATCTTAAAGGAATAGTTTGACATTTTGGCTTCATGCAGGAAGTGATACAGGAACAAATTTCCTCATATTTTTTTTCCGTATTCCACATATTTGTTCTTATTTTGTTAGTACCCATTGATTTCTGGGATTTACCAATATTTTTTTAGTTTTGCTCTTTTCTTAGGTAAGACAACATTTTACGAGTGGCGAGGGCACTCTTACCAATATAAGAAAAAAAACATCTTGTTTTAACAGCCTACAATCAACAATCAAGTTTACATTATTATACATTTTAGAGTGATTATAATGATTGGATTATTAAAGAAATACTTTTGGTGATCCCATTAAGACGATGAAATAATATAGCGTGCGTTCAGCTTCTGAATGGCTTACGTTCTGCTCTTAGATGCTTTTTGATTTTCCTGTACCACCAGTACTCACGCTCTGGAACATTACATGTTGACTTTGTTTAAGTTCATTTAACAAAACCCCAATGTCACCACTGCGGAAGTTCTTCTTGTTCTTACAACTTTTTGGTGGCATCTTTCCAAGTCTTGGCAAGAGTATTTGCACACGGCACAACAGCAGCCCGTACATAGTGTTTAGGGGCGTCACCTATGATAATAATTAACAATCAGCCACACGCCTCAAATTTATCATTTAGCACACCAGGAGCAGATTTGGATGGTTAAGAACGTTTGGTGTATCTTTAATCAGTAGCGCCCGAGATCAAAAAGGGGCCAATGGCATGCCACTGTGTTCAGCGGCATACACCGATGTCTGGAGTGGCCTGCCACTGTGTTCAGCGGCATACACCGATGTCTGGAGTGGCATGCCACGGTGTTCAGCGGCATACACCGATGTCTGGAGTTGCATGCCACTGTGTTCAGCGGCATACACCGATGTCTGGAGTGGCATGCCACGGTGTTCAGCGGCATATACCGATGTCTGGAGTGGCCTGCCAATGTGTTCAGTGGCATATACCGATGTCTGGAGTGGCATGCCACTGTGTTCAGCGGCATATACCGATGTCTGGAGTGGCATGCCACTGTGTTCAGCGGCATATACCGATGTCTGGAGTGGCCTGCCACGGTGTTCAGCGGCATATACCGATGTCTGGAGTGGCCTGCCACGGTGTTCAGCGGCATATACCGATGTCTGGAGTGGCATGCCACTGTGTTCAGCGACATACACCGATGTCTGGAGTGGCATGCCATGGTGTTCAGCGGCATAAACCGATGTCTGGAGTGGCATGACATGGTGTTCAGCGGCATATACCGATGTCTGGAGTGGCATGCCACTGTGTTCAGCGGCATATACCGATGTCTGGAGTGGCATGCCACTGTGTTCAGCGACATACACCGATGTCTGGAGTGGCATGCCATGGTGTTCAGCGGCATATACCGATGTCTGGAGTGGCCTACCACTGTGTTCAGCGGCATATACTGATGTCTGGAGTGGCATGCCACTGTGTTCAGCGGCATATACCGATGTCTGGAGTGGTACGCCATGGTGTTCAGCAACATATACCCCTGAAGTGGTATATCCAAACTCAACACTAGGGTCTCATTGGACGAGGGCCATAGGCACCACAGGGGACTCCTTATGTTACGGCCCTGTCATCACTCAGGCTATAAAAATCAGCACTACCTAGATCTCGGAGCCATCCCACACAATTCGATTCGCATGAATAGGCTCCATGTTTCAGGTTAAACTTAAATGATATAACTCATCAAACCCGACACTCGGGAATGATCAGCCTCACGTGACTTGAGTGAAATGATGATAAATGATGTAAAAAGTGTTTCGTCTCTCCAACTCTCTCCGACTTTAATTGTATCTATGATAAAAATGATTGAGGGAAATATCAGATCATGAAAAGACAAATCTTTCTAATAAATGAAGAAAGTTGTTTGTGGTCCTTTTGTTGTTCAGACCTACAATGAACATATTAATGAACATATTAAACTAGATGGTGAATCATTTTCACCAGATGGTGAATGTGCGACAGCGTCGCACATTTTATGGCTGGGAATGTGTTTCATTTTAACTGAGCATCTTGGTGTTTGGAGCTATGCTACGTTAACCTGAGGACACCATAGCACGGCAGGACGGTGCTTTTGAAAACTTTAGGAGAAACCCGAGTGGATCTACAGATCAATGAACATGTTCGCAGGGAAACGGAGCTCCACAACCGCAGACCGGCTGCGCGGTCGGGGCCGGCGGAGGTGGGTTCCCGGCCGGCCGGTGCGACTGAATCAACAGGCCGCAGCTTACCGGTGCGACAGAACGCTGGCCGGTACGACCGAACGTGTCCTTGTGTGTCCTTATCCTGCATGTTGTATGAATGTTAGCTAGAGTCCTGGTTGATGGGCAGGGAGCATGGGTGGCACCTTGAATGGGTGAATGACGACATGTAGTGTTAAAGCGCTTTGAGTGGTCGGGAGACTAGAAAAGTCTATACAAGTAGAGTTTACCTGCCTACTCCAATATATAACCCACAGTGCCAAAAAACATATACTAAAGAACAAAACGTAATTAAACTAAACAAATATCAAAAGAAAAAGCTATCTTAGATAAGCAAACATCTAGAATAATGAAAGAATAACATTGGAACAACATCATTAAAGAATACTTGTGAATAAAATAACTAAATACTATCATCAAATTAGTTGCTCCTACAGTTAGTTTACCACAGAGCTAACTTCCTGGTTGGATTAGACAAATAAACATCGAATAAATAGTTCGGAAATTAGTGTTTGTAGATTATTTCTCTGTTGTAACAATGCTTCTTGGCAATACATCTTATACCGTTGGAAAGCCTGTTTAGTTACCTTTTAAACGGTACCCCATTTGTAAGGAACGTACATTTCTGGGATGAGCAGCACAGCTGAGTATGTGGGTTGCGCCCATGAAAAATTTGCCAAATCTTCTCTGCCAATGCCAAACAGCTTATTCTGCTGTTGCTATTGACCGTCAGGCCCGTTTGCGCTGGTGTCGGCAACACCTGCACTGGAACCTGAACATGTGGAGGAACGTTATGTTCAGCGATGAGTCCAGATTCTGCCTAAGGATGTTGGATCGTAGGGTCAAAGAGTGGAGAAGACGGGGAGAACACTATGCTGATTGCTGCACCGATAGAGTAACACCTTTTGGTGGAGGCAGTGTGATGGTGTGGGGCGGCATCTCCATCACTGGAAAAACGAGGCTCGTCTTCATTGGAGGCAATCTCAATGCAGAGAGATATCGAGATGAGATTCTGCAACCAGTGGCAATCCCATTTCTCCACAGTCTGGGACCGAAATCCATCCTCTAAGATGAAGACGCTCGCCCCCCAGAGCGGGGTTTATCAGAGACTACCTCCAGAATTTGGGAGTAGAGAGGATGGAATGGCCTGCCAACAGTCCTGGCCTCAACCCAACTGAACACTTGTGGGACCAGCTGTTCATGCCAGAGTGACCAACACAACTACGTTGGCTGACTTGCGACAAATCCTGCTTGAGGAGTGGAATGCCATCCCACAGCAGTGTGTGAGCAGGCTGGTGACCAGCCTGAGGAGGAGGTGCCAGGCTGTTGTGGCTGTGTATGGTTCTTCCACATGCTACCGAGGCTCCTGTTTAAATGAATAAATTGTAAAATTGCCAATATGTCTTGTTTCTTCCTTGTTACTGATAGACTTCAATCATCCAATCCACCAAACAACACCAAACAAGAGTCAATAGCAACAGCAGAATAAGCTGTTTGGCATTGGCAGAGAAGATTTGGCAAATTTTTCATGGGCACAACCCACATACTCAGCTGTGCTGCTCATCCCAGAAATGCATGTTCCTTACAAATGGGGCACTGTTTGAAAGGTAAATAAACAGACTTTCCAACGGTATAACATTTATTGCCAAGAAGCATTGTTACAACAGAGAAATAATCTACGAACACTAATTTCCGAACTTTTTGTTCAATGTTTACATCACCCTAACCCCATCATTTGATTTGTTCCATCATGTGTTTTTCTGATTGCTTGTGTTTTCTTAAGTTGCTGAGCTATCAGAGCTATCTGTGAGTCTTAAATTCCTCTAACCTCATTGGCTTTGATGCAGTTGTTCTGTCCGTACAGAGGTGGAAGCTAAAGGGGAGTCCGACCGTCTGTCTGAGGAGCAGCTGTCACTGATGGTGAACAAGGCTGAGCTGCTGAAGATTACCGACAAGCACCGACCCAGTGGGACCTGGGCCTTCTGGTACCCTGAGTCCCAAATGGACCAAACGGAGCAGGATGTACGGCTGAAGACCAGAGGAAACGGTCCTTTCATATGCGAGTCTGTGTTAACATGCTATTTCTACTGCTTAGCTGCTCCCACATATTTACCACTGAAAACAGAAAACAGTGCATGTGCATCCAGCACGCCCTTATTGCACATTAAAAGCAGAGTGTTTGAGCCGTGCTTAAGCCTCAGGCTACTCATTTAGAGCCAGTAGTCTTAAGTGGATCTTTGTTAGGGGATGCAACAGTAAAAGATTTGATCAGAGATCTTTAATTCGTTTTCATATGATGGGCCTGTTTTTCAAAGCCAGAGAGTCCTTTTATGTTTTCATGACCCTCACATTGAGCAAGCTTGTCCCCGTGTTGACCTCCATGGCAGTGAATGAAATGAAATTTGAAATCCGGTCCCACAGTTTCACAAGTGGCCTCTAATGTCAGGCCGAGGGGCAGATCCGGGACTCAATCGCAGATAAGACACGAGGTGAAGTTCAAAACTCAGGAATCTTTACTTGAAAAAGGGTCAAAAACAAACTCAAAGCGACTCCAACGGAGCGGGCAAAAATATCCAACAAAACAAAAGAAGGGCAAAGGTACACATCAAGAGGGAACTCTGGAACACCGATCAAACACGAGGAAGGCACAGAACGAACAGCCAGTGAACAAACAAGGACGATCTAACAACCAGAACAGGGAAAGCAGGGGAGTATGTGTGTGGGGTGATGAGGAGATTGAAGGCAGCTGGGTGGACTGGGCAGGTGAGTGGGATGAGTGTAATCAGGGGAAGCACACACACACAGAAACACAGACATGAGGAAGCTAACGGGATGTTACAGTCCCCCCCCCAGAGCCGGCTCCAGACAGCCCAGGTTGGTCTGGGTGGCGCTTGTAGAAATCCCTAATGAGGGAAGGGTCCATAATGTTCTTGGGGGGGACCCAGCACCTCTCCTCTGGTCTGTATCCCTTCCAGTCGACTAGGAATTGGCGACCTCAACCTCTGGAGCGGACCCCCAGCAACCGTTTGACGGTGTAGACTGGGCCGCCGTCAATGACCCGGGGGGTTGGAGGGGGTTTGGAGGCGGGAACCAGTGGGCTGGTCCTTACTGGCTTAACCTTGGAGACATGGAAGGTAGGATGGACCCTCATGGTCCTGGGAAGTTTTAACTGGACCGCCGCGGGGTTAATCACCTTGGTGACAGGGAAGGGGCTGATGAATCTCGTCTCATCTCCTGATTGTAACGCTCCGTCTGACCGTTGGACTGGGGGTGGAACCCAGAAGAGAGGCTGGATGTAGCCCCAAGTTGTCTGCAGAACTCCTTCCAGAAGCCGGCCGTAAACTGGGGCCCTCGGTCGGAAACCACATCCTGTGACAGACCGTGAAGGCGAAAGACCTGGGAGAGCATAATTGCTGCTGTCTCCTTGGCAGAGGGGAGCTTGGGCAGAGGGACAAAGTGAGCCATTTTGGAGAATCGGTCGACAATGGTGAGAATAACAGAGTTACCTTCCGACCGGGGCAGACCGGTAACGAAGTCCAGAGAGATGTGCGACCAAGGCCTACGTGGCACCGGAAGAGGATGTAGTAACCATGATGGGCACTGCCGGGAGGTCTTATTCTGGGCGCAGACCTGACAAGCGGCCACGAACTCCCCTGTGTCGTCCTCCAGGGATGGCCACCAGAATCGCTGCCTGAGGAAGCTGACTGTCCATCTTACCCCTGGGTGGCAGCTGAGTCTGGAGGAATGTCCCCACTGCAGGACTTTAGAGCGGAGGTTAGCGGGGACGCAAAGGCGGTTAGGAGGGCAGCCGTCAGGAGGCTGTGCCCTGTTGATGGTTTGTTTGACCTCACTCTCAATGCCCCAGGTCACCGCACCCACCATGCAGGAAGGAGGCAGGATTGGAGTGGGGTCCCTTGGGGCATCCTCAGGCTCGAACTGGCGGGATAGGGCGTCTGGTTTCACATTCCTAGAGCCTGGACGATATGATAAGGTGAAATTAAAGCGGTTAAAGAACAATGCCCACCTGGCCTGTCTGGAGTTCAGCCTCTTCGCCGTTCTGATGTACTCCAAATTGTTATGGTCAGTCCATGCTTGAAATGGTTGTCCAGTCCCCTCCAACCAGTGTCTCCACTCCTCTAACGCCAGCTTGAGGGCCAACAGCTCCCGCTTGCCCACGTCATAGTTCCTCTCCGCTGGGGACAGCCTCTTGGAGAAGAAAGCACACGGGTGGACCTTGTTATCCTTGGGAGAGCGCTGCGAGAGAACCCCTCCTACCCCCACATCGGAGGCGTCGACCTCGACGATGAACTGGAGTTCAGGATCAGGCAAGGCGAGGATGGGGGCAGAGGAAAATCGCCTCTTAAGGGCCTGGAATGCCTCCCCTGCTCGAGGATTCCACAGGAACCTGGTGCCTGAAGAGGTGAGGGCATGGAGAGGGGCAGCCACAGAACTGTAGTTTCTAATAAAACGTCTTTAAAAGTTAGCGAAACCCAGGAATCTTTGTAGTTGC